TTGAACAGGATAGTAGGCGAGGTCTCAATGATCCTGCCATGCCCATATCGGATACCTCGGTCGGCGCTGCGGAGGAGGTGGATAGCAAAGGCGGCACCCCGTCCGATACCGAGGATGCTGAGGACGCCGAATGTGAAGCTCTGCGCGAAATCAGCGACGTTACGCAGAAGATTGACTACCTGTTTCGCTACATGCTCAGGCGCGACAAGGAGTACAATAAAGACCGTGAACGGGTGAATCGGACAGTGAAGGCCCTGAAAGAGGAAAATGCAGAGCTCCAGGGACAAGTAGATGATCTCACCACGACAGTCAACGGCCTGATTCAGATCCAATGACACCCTCATCTCTGGACCAAGGTGAAGTTTATCAATATCGATTCGTCGAGCGATTTAACAGCAGTGGAGCCGTTCAAGAAGATCTTGAGCCACTATGAGTTGAGCGGCTTCTCCAGAGACATCATCACCGCGCGGAAAGTCACACAGGACTCATCCGGGACGAACTCGCAGCGCCCTGGAAACCCTACTACTGCCGGCAAAAAAGACTTCGTCATCGTGAAATTTAAAAGTGCTGCCGTGCGAGACCGAGTCCTCGAGGTCGTGCCGGAGAAAGGTGCAACTCCTTACTCAGAGATTTTCGGAGGCGCCGACAGCGCACTGATTCGAGCATACGACCTCGTGAATCCGGCGGTCTTTGCGTTGAAGAAAAAAGCCAGCGCTCTAGCGAAGGAGAAGGGCTACCGTTTTGTCTAGGTCAGAGAGGGCGCACTGCGCGTTCGGAAGGACGAGCGCTCGCCCGTCATTCATATTACTACTGAAGCCTATCTCAAGCAGATCGCCTGAGGGCCCGCGCACGACGACGAACGTAATAACCTGCAGCTTGAACCGAACCTAAATGAAATTTTTTTTCAAAACTCGCGAAACCATTTATGAAATTGTCCACTTCAAAAAATTAGATTAGTACATATAAATGCCCTTTCAATAAAAGACAGCGTCACCTTTTTGGCCGATTTTTTTATTCATAGATTTAATATCAATGACAACTGTGAATATTCAAACATAAAAAAACGTAAATTCAAAAAATAATTGCCTAATAGCCTTCGTTTTTTTGCATTAAGACATTTTTAGAAAAATCGATTAGCTTATCATAAACAAAATTTTTTGAGGTAGCAATAAGTTTTTGGTTCTCTTTATTTTTCTTATTTTCAGCAGCTTGACGTTTATTTTTTAGGGCTGCCTGAATTTTTTTTTCAACGTTGGCTTGAAAAGTTTTTTGAAGCTGAGCTTTCTTTTCCTTTTTCTTCAACTCTTCTTTTTCTTTCAGTTCAGCCTCTTTTTCCATCTGCGCTTTTTGGATTTTTTCTAACTTAAGCTTTTCTTTTTCAATAATAGCCTTTTCAATATTTTTGGCTTCTAATTTTTCTTTTTCAAGTTTTTCAGCTTCAGACTGCTCCTTTTTCATTTTAAGAAATGTTTCATTCTGAATTTTATTCATTTTATTATTTGCTATTTTTTTCTAGTGGGCGAAGAAGTAAGTATCTCAGAACTTATTTTGGTTGAGTTCCTTATCCAAATTAAATGTACTATTAGCTAAATTTTCTGAGGCTAAAAAATCTGAAGAATAACTTTCCTCTTTGCGTACATGAATACTTTGGTTGAGTTCTTTATCCAAATTATCCAAAAATTTGAGTTTATGTGTAATGTTTATTGTGTATTGGTTAGGTGGCAGTGGAAGTTCTTCTCCGCAGAGTTTCGAACCTCAACCCCCCACTTCCGATATAAACGTCTATTTTCTATTTATATTTATTCTAAAACCCTGAAGTAATTAAAAAATCTGAAAAAATTCATAAAAATGGCTTTCAATATCTCAAACAACCTCGATTTTTTTCAGATTTTTTGAGTGCTTCAGGCTTTCATATAAAATCATTAAAAATTCTGAAAATCGAGATACGGCGATATGAGCCGATGTAGAACTCGGAAATTTTTTCAGTTTTTTTTCGCATTACAGCTAAATCTCGATATCTGCGCATTCGATATCTGTGGATTCGTTATTTGCGGTCTTATGTTTTGTGACCAATCTTCGATATGTTGACTTGAAGGTGTTGACATTTGTTTGTTTGTTGTTATTTGAATGTTTGACATTTTTTCAAAATCAGTTAAGTTTGTAGTATTTTATATTTCTCTTTATTATTAAAATGGCACCATAAAAAAATCCGGCGAATGCCATTATCAAAATCATTCGATTCGTAGAGGATGCTATAGAAACAGCAATTGAAAGTGATCCGATTATGATACGTAGCCTCAAATTTAAAAATGACTGTGAAACCGTTTTACAGGTCTACCGAGAGTTGTATGGCGATACTGCTTGAAGAGCTAAACAAGCTCAAATAACACATTTTTTTTCCAAAAAAAAAAAAAATAAATTAATAAGTTAATTGTAGCCTGTTATGTTTGTAATACTTTATATTTGATACAAAAAATTATTGTATGCAACACGTGCCCAGCTTTTTGCGCTCAGTGTGCGGAAAAAACACACACTCGTGCCGGCATAGCCGGCACTCGTGTCTTTTTCCGCACACTCGTGCCCAAAAACGCCTTTTGGGCACTTGTTACATAAATAACTGATTTTCTAGCAAAAAGTAATTTATGTAAATTTTTTCGTCCACCCAGAACGTAACCCTCTAATTGCCGTAGGAGCAATGCTTCGATATCTGCGGATTCGATATCTGCGGCCCCCTTCCGAAAAGTAACCCCCGTAGATATCGGGGTTTAGCTGTAACTTACACACCTTTTGAAGCAAAAAACCGCTTTTTATAACGAAAATAATTTTTTTAGGACGATAGGAACCTCGAAAAATCTGGAAAAAATTTTTTCTCGTTTTTTTTTTTCATCAAATTACATAACCTCAAATTTTTTCAGATTTTTTAATTGAAGGCAATAGCTTCTAGGTCCGAAAAATGCTTTTTTTAACAAAAAAGGTTCCTAGAATATTTTTTTTGAATTTCTTGTCAAGTTTTAATATATTTTGACCATTTCAAATTTCCGATTGAAGTCTCCTAGCTCAATCTAGATCATGAAAATAGTTTTATCATTCCTTAATGTCTTCAGGGACATCTTCAGAATTTTGCATTAATTTTTGTCATGCTCTAGATTGAGCTAGGAGGCTTCAATCGAAAACTTAAAAAGGTCAAAATTTATTAAAATTTTACAAGGAATTCAAAATAAATATTTTCATTACCGAAACCATCGGGTTCTAGGAACCTTTTTGAGGTTATGTCTTTTGATGAAAAAAACAAGAAAAATTTTGTTCCACATTTTTCGAAGTTCCGTATCGTCCTAAAAAAATTATTTTCGTTAAAAAAGCGGGTTTTCAGTTCTAGGCTTCATCGGCATCGATGAAAAATTCTGAAAAAATTCAAGGAATCATTTTTTGGTATCAGAATTAAGAAAAAAATACTCTGGTCTGGTATATCGAACCATTTCATCGAAAATAAAATAATTCAAATTTTCAATGACTTTTTCTGAAGGCCTGAAGCGCTCAAAAAATCTGAAAAAATTCGAGGTTGTTTGGATTCATGAAAAGTATTTTCATGAATTTTTCCAGATTTTTTAATTACTTCAGGGCTTCAGAATAAATATAAATAGAAAATAGATGTTTATATCGGAAGTGGGGGTAGAGGGGGAGGGGGTCCAAAATTTTGGTTTTGGCACCTTTTTATCATGTACTATAACATACGAAAAGCGCGTCAAGATCGGTGACATACGTGCACACGGTTTTGTAAAAAAGTATTATTTTGACCCATACTTATACTTATAATACCAGTGCTTTTTATTCATTTTGAAAAATATTTAAAAATTATATCACGAATAATCGAAAAAGAAGCACTCAAGTTGAACGTTTTACGCTTAATAGTACTATGAATCAATAAAGAACCATTTCTGAGTCCACATATCCTCGTAAGTACTCAAAAATCACTTTCAAAAATATGTATTTGAATAAGTCAAGAATAATTTATTCATCTTCAAACTTAAAGAGCTGGTCAAAATAAAATTTAATTTTTCTAATCGCGATGCACGGTCGGAATTCACCATTCTCTTCCTAGCACGAGGATCTTAATACCGATTATAATGGAAAACCATTTACAAAGTCGAAACATCAGAAGATGGTCATTAAAAACTCTGTACGATTCTATATATTTACAAATATATAGAATTCTATATAGTAACAAAAATTAATGTTAACTATTAAATAATTGATTATTAAATTACAAATTGATTATAAATTCTGATCAGAAATTTTTTAATTTTCTTACAGTTTAGAACATTTGCTAATATTGATTTTCCTGATTTAGGATTCAAAATTAACAAAAAAAGAATTTCATAATTATAATTACTTGCTTCTAAATTATAAAATATAGTTAAATTCTTAGCTTCAAATGTGTTCGAACGCATAGTCAGCACCCCTTCAACCATGTTTAAACTCGATACACCAGAGCATTGAGAATTGATACAATCTGTACAACTTTATTTTGATTAATATAAATCCCTGTACATCCTTTTTAATATATTAATGGAATAATTTGCACGATTTCAAAAAATAACTGAATCAAAAATTATTTACTTTGAACATAAGAAATTAATCTATTTAGAATTTTCATTGCTGCCAATAAAAAAGTGCATTTTATTGTAGAATACTTGAAATACCGATCTCTATTTAGTACAACTGTCTTTGAAATTCAAGCGCAGTAATGACAATAATAGCCAGAAAATAATACGTAGTTGCTATTACGTATAAGTTGAAGTGAAACATGCAAAAAAATCATCATATAATTATAGTCATGTAAAAATATGTCTAACAGCACATATTAGTACGAATGTGCGAGAGAATAAGAGGACAAAATCGACTATATATATATATCTGTCGGCGTAGCTCGGACGCGAATCGTACACACTGCAACGTCACGTTATTTTACTATCACGAGCTCTTCAGTTGCCTTTCCACCTCCGCAGATCTTGCGCGTGCAGGTGGAATAAGAGTGATTATGTATATGTATATACTGTCTATCAGCTGTTTATACATACTCGTGCATGTGTGCCAACTCATACTCGCTTTTGTGTGTAATTTATCGTCTCGCGATTCCAACTTTGCCGCTGAAAACTTGCTCGAGTTAATCAGTTATTGGACGTTACAAATCAAAAAGTCAGCGCACGTATAAAGCTAAACACGGGATGACAAACTTATCAACACGGCTGGAATCGGTACCTAGTTGAGTAAGTCGTCCTATTTGGTACCTTGATTTCTTTGAATTTCTGCTTTAACTGCGTTGTCATAAATTAATGAACGGAAGTTTCGAGTTAATTGTAATGCTGCATTTTATCGAATCAAATTTCTTAATGCTTTATTAGCTTCTAAAAAGTGTCGACCTTAAAAAATTGAAGAAATTAACACCACTACGGTTACCCAATAATGATGTATGCAATTTTTCATTTCCTTTAAAAAATTATATCGAATTATAGCTATTTAAAACAAAAAGTATATTCAGTATGTTCAATAGTTTCTACAATAAAGTTTCTCCTTGAAAACACAGAAGCTATTGAATAGTTTATGTGTATGTCAACGAGCAATCATTATCTTTGAATCTTAATAATTCGTTTATTTTTAATGAAATATTACTTATATAATAATTACGTGCTGTGAGATTTATGTCAAGACTTACTTTCTCACGGGAAGTTTATATTATTCTTAAGACCTTCATAGAGTTTAGTTAGAAAATATTGTCGTTTCGAAAATATGACCTCTAACTTAATACGAGCATTTCACGAGTTTCACAATCATTATGACACTGAGTTTTTTTTTTGACAGGTAATGTCATATTTTATTTCAAGTTCAACGTGTTTATCATCATAAAAAAAGGATCGGAAAAGTGATCTAGCATGTATTAGCTAAAAAAACAGTACAAGCATAATAAAAGTATACACGTATTAGATGTATTGTTACATAGTACATTCACAAGATGTATAGTTGAAGCTCATTCACGTAAGCTCGGAATTTTCGTAACTCGTCCGAGAAAATTGCCACAAAACCGAGTAAATAACTCGTTTCCGCAAATGTAGAGCATCCTAGGAATACGAAAAAATTAACTATTTTTACTTTGAATTTCTAGAAGCATTTTTGTTTGAAAATGTTTATTTTTCCTTTAAAAAAATGCTTATCAAAGCTTAACATTCCTCAAATAATTCGGACCATCATTGAATTATTATTGAATCGGTAAAGCAATTTAGTTGTAATAATATAAGCTAATAAAAGCAGTGAGTGCATTTAGTGATAAACATTTGTTCATGTGCACTGTTGGCAGGTGACCGAAAGAAGGTAATGTAATAAACATAGAACTGAGTGTATAGAAAATATATAGTTCTACGCGATAGTAGCTTATCGCACTCTTGCGTGCATTTTGTTCGTTTCCTTGGTCACATGCTTCAGAAACCGAATTTAACATTTAAATGTTTTTTACAAGTTTACAAAGTGAAACATCCTTACTTTGAGTAAAGTCTCATTACTTTGCTATTAAAATTCGGTGCAACTGTTATTCGTTCACAGTTCCTTTCTCGAGCGCAGTTACACATTAAACTCTTTTACCTACAAGTTAATTGTGAATTTCATGCATATTTTCCAAACCATCAAAATTCATTTTTTTACCCATTAAATTTTAGTTAGTTCGTTCAAAAACCTAATCACTAGCTCCCCTTAATAACTTATCTAATTCTGATAAAATTTTTGCGGAAGCGACAATTGGATTCATTATATACGTGTTTTTGGCATTGTACATCGAGCTAACTGAACTGATTCATATTTTCATTCTTATTATCATGTGACCAGTCGAATTTAAATTTTTAAATTTCAAACGTCATTAAAAATTGTTTCAAGTGTAAGATACTTATTATATTGATGTAATATTTTATTATTGTGCTAATTTTATTATCCAAAAATTAACTTTTATTTTAAAGCACCTTAAAAAAATAAAATTATTAATAAATATAACGCACAATTGCAGTGAATGGTGGAAGACGGCGTTTTTGGCCCTGTAGGCCAAATCATCATCTACAGCACCATCGCAGTGACACTAGTGATTGCCTTACTCATTATAGCCTGCTTCGTTACACCTGGATGCATTGGCTACGAGTGTGTGAGACCAAAAAGTAATATTTTTTTATCTGACACTTACTGAACATGATATTTTGGAAAAGTTGGAAAGTTCTGTTTGTTACATGATCGCTCGATATCTCGTTGCAAAAAATCTTAACTCATTTATTATCCCTAATCAGTCTTTTTCTTTGATCACATCTTCTGAAATCTTATGAAATAAGTTTGAATCCATCACACGCATACGTAGATCTATTGTTCTAATGAAAAATTCATCGCATATCTCTTTTTATACTATCATGGAGGCGTTCCATATACGTTTGTGAGGCTTGCGTACTGTGATGCGCTTCGCAGCATTTTTTCCGACCTTTGGTTGCATAATAAGCATACACGTTCCGTCTTTTGTTGTTCTTCATGAGTACGTAAGAAAATGGCTGTACTATAAACGAGTAACTTTATTTAGCAACGTTATTGACATATATTCAGTATACAATTTTTTTAGCCTTCAATATTCATAGTAAAATAAATTAATAAATATATTTTGGGGATTTTTAAATTAATATTCGTTTTCGAAATTTTTACTTTCTGTCGAAGTCGATTGAACCAAAATGATAATTGTTAAATAAAATATTTTCTGTATCATTCGACAAAAAAAAGTAATTGAAAAACAGTATTTTCATTAATTATCTTTTTATAACATATCGATGTAGAAACACAGATTCTTTTCTCTAACCCAACTCATGCCATCGTATTAATTTTTCATTATTTTAATATAAAACAATTTTAATATAACAATGGTATTAATATTTTTGCATATGATTTTTGCAGAAAAACAATCTGTCACAGACGGGAATCCTAACGATAAAATCAACGAAAATCTAAAATTAAATGATGTCAGCTATCGATCTTGGCGAGTTGGAAGTTTATATGATACTGAAAGTGGTACGTTATCATTTTACCGTTATGTGGTGAATTTGAATTATTACTTTTTTAGGTACCATATTCGAAAATTCAGTATCTCCCAGGCAATCAATAAACTCTAATGACAGTCAAATTGAAGCGTCTGATCCGAATTCCATTGCAGTAAGTTCACACTATTATTAATTTAAATATTTTGCTAGTTTATGAATGAAAACTCTTGTGTTTTAAAAATCTAGAGTGTAACTCTTCCATCAAAGCAAAATGTAAAAGATACAGACTTTCCAACAGAACTAACTCTTAGCCTCAGATATTTACCTTATTGTGAAGGAGTCACAGCTTCAAAGTTTGTTATTGGAGTCGAGGTAATTTGAATTGTAATAATTACATTGAAATTTGGTGCTCTGAACAATTTTTTACGTTTTTTTTTGCAGACATTGTTAGGACTTCCTCCAAAACAATATAATTGTACTTTAGAACCTTATGTGACATTAGATTTATATAAACAATCTTGGACGAATCGGAAAAAACAAAAATTATATAGCTTTAAAACCAAAGGAGTCAAGCATACTGCCAATCCAGTTTTTAAAGAATCTTTTGTAATTTCGGGAGCAAATCCACAAGACATAAAAGTAAGTTAGGTTCATCATTGATAATTAATCATTTTAATTATTTCAGTTCCTTATTGCAATAATTTTACAATAATCTTATTGGTAAATGAAATAATCCAATACAATTTTCAGGAGTGGATGCTCAACATTGAAGCCTATGACCATGATCGTTATGCTAATCATACTAAATTAAGCGAGCTTCAAGTTCAATTAAAGGACACGAAGAGAATATTTCTTTCCCCGGAAACTCATCTTTTCAATTTTCAAATGAAAACTTCAAAACAGGTAAAATTTTATTCTGATATCCGTAGGAATTTTTGAGTAATTAGCACAATACGAGCCATTAATAATAAAAAAATGAAGAGAAAAAAGAGTTCATAAATACTTCGATATTATTTTAAGGAGTATGGAAGTATACTACTTGGAATAAGCTATTTACCAACGGCACAACGCTTATCGATAAATGTTATGAAAGCACGCAACATCAATTTTATGCCAACGATACCAAATATTCAAGAATTCAGTAAGACTTTTAATTTTTATTTTATATTGATAAGAATATTGATTTCATTCTTTTTCTCGCAGACCCTTTTGTTCGGATTTTGATGTTAAATGGACGTACCAGTAAAAGAATAAAGAAATTAAAAACTAAAGTTGTTCCAGCCGTAAGAGAACCTGAATTTAACGAAACTTTAACATTTGATTTGCCGCCGAATAAAATAGATTCGCTACAGTTCCTAATAATTTTATGTAGCAAGGTAATTTTCTAAAAATATATTATGTAAAAACCATTAAAAAATCATATTCAAATATTTTTGCAGTCAAAAATAGATACGTCTACCATGCCTATGATGAATGAATTACCTAGTGATAGCGAGGATTCGGTCGTTTCATTTCAAAAAGCCAAAGATGTTTGTATAGGAAAAGTTGCTCTTGGCAAAGGAGTTCGTGGTACAACGGAAAGACTGCACTGGTTTTCTATTTTTCAAAATCCCAGAAAACTCGTAACAGTGTGGCATAGCCTCAAATGATGAATACCTTTTCCTCAGTAGCTTTTTTGAGCATAACAAATGCCATACTTATGTAAATATTATTAAATTTTTAAGTTTGAAAAAAAGTGTCATATAGTTTTAATTTATGCATATAACGTAATAATTCATTTAGAATTACTAATAGATATCAGAAAATATAATTAAAACGCATAGTTAGAGTTGTCATAAGCTTATTTAAATTTGGAAATAGACAATTTACAAATTATTTTGTTACAAGTAATGAAATAGTTTAAAATTTTCTATAAAAAATGGTATAATTTAAAAAGCTCTCTTATTCGTCCAATATTGAAATTAACCCATTAATGCTCAAAGGACACTATTTTGACATAACAGTTTGAGCTATTTTGATGTTTTCTTTGAGAACGCACAAACTAATGGCGGTACTTACAATTGTTTAAATTGACAAATTACTAACAAATGTTTAAATTTTATTTGAATAAAATATATTTTTACGATTAATTTTTTGTAAATTCAATTTTAGAAACTTTTTTCGTTATTTTATGTGGTTAAAATGTCTATAGATTGTACACTCGAAGTCTGTACTTGAAAAAACTATGATTAGTTAAGTCAGAGAAGTTTTTTGTTCGGCAAAATCGTGATTGGAGTAAAAAAGTTGACTTTTAAAGTTGACTTTTTTTATTTCGAAAAATATCAAGTTTAAAAGAAATTGTCATCTTCTCAGAAATCTTCTTCAAAAATTTTGAAAAAAAATTTGAGAATGTTCCTTGAACAATTCAATGAAATTTTTGTTCATACATTTTTCTCTAAACACAAAAGTTTTCGAGATAAAAATAGTGGAAAGTCAAATTTTTTACTACAGCCACCATTTTGTTAAACGAAAATTTCTTTGACTAAACTAATTATGTTTTGTCAAATAAAGACTTCGAGAACGCGATCCGTATGTATTTTAATTATCTAAAAACAAAATATTGAAAAATAGTTCCAAAATTGAATTAAAAAAACTTGACTATAAAAACACTATTTTCAAGTGAATTTGAAATTTTTGTTGGTAATTTTTTAATTTATATAACATTTTTACCTTAAAATTGCCTCTTAATCACTAATTTAGGCTCTTGTGCGATAAAATATAGTGTGGAACTTGTGTAATTATGTTTTTTCTGTAACCCTTCGTTTTGTAAAAAGCCCTATCCACGCCTGTTGCATACAGTACTATGAAAAAATTTACTACAACTACCATTCGTAAGAGCACTCTCATAAAAATAAGATATAGTCATTTTCATCATTTTTTAGCTTTTATAGAGACATGGTAATAGCTCAAAGATGTATGTCAAAATCGCATCCCCGGGCCGTTTATAGATTATCATACAAGTACACACAAAAAAACTTGGTTTTTACTCCAAATACAGTGTAATTGTAATGTAACTATACAAAACTATCATCACTTTTACTAACGCGAGTTTTTTATTGAAAAAAGTTCTCATTCTAGATTTTTAAAATTGAAAAATTCTACGCTCACTATATTTCAGTTTTCGACAATAAAAAATTGTTAGGTATTTACAAAAGTCGTTCTTGGGGTGTAAACCAATTTTCATGTGCGTATGAACTAAAAACTCTCCATGATTTTTTCTCAAATAGTTTTGTTAAAAATTCTTCATGTTGGGCTTATCATTTGAAGTACTTTTTATCATAAAAGCAGCAGAGTAGTTACCGATGCCAGGATCGTCAAATACAATTTGATTATCGATCATCCAGTTTTTGTATGGTATTTCGGAATGCAGTTTGTAACCTGCATTATCTGCATACATTCGATGCTCATGGGATGTTAAAATACCACTGATAAATGGAAACTGAAATTATTTTGTGATGTTTTGAGAGACGTTCATACTTCAAGTGTTTATACATTTTTTAAGGGGTAACACCACTGGAATTTTGTAAAAAATCTTAGTTTTTTTCTTCGATGAAAATTTTTCTTTAGGTGTAAAGAATGAAGCTTGAGTAGTTTTACAGAGTAAAAATAATTTTAAGAAGCTTTATATTTTTTTACAGCATTTTTTATGAGCAATAAGTGGGTATCAAAATCTTCAAACGTGTTTTTTTCAAAACTACATTTTTTAAACTATTGAACAAAAATGTCGGGAAATGTTAAACGGATTTAGCTTAAATTTTACTGGATTTTCAAAATAATTGGTTCTTTTAGGCTAAAATCCTAAGTATTACTCTAGAAAAACTCTTCAATTTAAAGAGGAAATTCATTTTTTGGTTCCAGGTGCCATAAGAGCCGAGAAGTGTGCCCAATAGTTATAAAAATTGCTTTTTTATAAATGTACTATATCTTCAAAATTTAATAAAAAACATCAATAATAATATTGTTTTTTAGATCTTTAAGACATTTATCATTACTCCTCAAAGTCTCAAATTGAAAGATGCAACGAGGGCTCTACAAAAATACTCAAATTTTAGTATTTTTAAAAAATCTAAAATGGTGTTACGCCTTAATAATAAAATATTAGCTGACATTTAAGAATAGAGCAAGCTCTTTGCAAGTTTCCAGTAACTCAACACCTACGCCTTTTGCCTTGTAAGACGGGTGCACGCATAAAAGATAAATTCGAAGAAATTCACTGATACCCTTGGAGTGGAAAAAATTTGATTGTTTTATCACCCCGCATTTTAAATGATTAATTGCTGCAAGTGCCTCTCCTTCGTACAGCTATTGAATTAATTATAATCATATAAATTAATTTAGATTAATAATTTTTCCGTATTAATTTCACAACAAACCTGCTCACGACTATAAATATCAGATCGTTCTGCTAGATAGTTTGGTTTCGTTATTGCAACTCCAACGACGCGATGAGACTTAGCGCTCAAGGCTATGATACTCGTTTCGTCTTTTAACCAGAAATTAATTAATTCTAAGTAACCGTTTACCGATACAGGATCTTGCAAAAGTCGCTTGGATCTGCACATCGGTTCATTTCGAAAGTAATGATGCTTTTAGAATAGAACAAAAAACATTGAATAAATAATTCTTTTACAACACTAGCGATGAAAGTTAACTAACCTTTATAAGGTTCACTACTTCGTCATAGTAGTCTTTATGATAATCTTGAATGAAGAAATCTTGTTGGGTGCTCCATAAAATAGGAGCTACTATTTTTTGTGCTAATTGTATTGCTAACTGATCCTGGTCCCCCATACTAAATGAAGTGTACAAAAAATTATTCCCTCGATAAATTTCTTAATTTTCAAAACAGGAATCTAAACATAACCAAAATAAATTATTCTGTATCCAAAATATGTCAAATGCACGGTTGAAATGAGCAACGTCACAAATTTCTCAATTTAGCGAAAATACGTTACAGTCTATTAATAAGGTTGCCATGACTTTTATTATATATCGAAGAACAAAGATATGTACTATTCATTTATTCAGTCAATCCAGTGATTTGTAACGACCTTATACATGAATTTTTAAACTATTGAGTAATATAATAATTTTCTGTACAGTTGCATTACAAGACGATTGTTTTAATGCTTCAGCGAGAAATGCTCAAATAATCGTTATTTCATTACAAATTTATGCACCATCTTGTAATATGATGATCAGAGAGTAAATGATTTTTCATCTTTTAAACTTTATTATATCAATTAATAAATTTTGCAAATGGCACAATATTAATATTGTGTTAATGATAAGTCAAATGTCAATCAATATATTACTATATAGAAGAAAATGATTTGCCATATCTTTGAGGAGTTTGGAGATTTCTTGGGTACGTATCTAAAAACTTGGTTTTAATCTGTTTTTATTTAAAAATAAAACTTATACACGGCTATTAATATGAATATCATATAAAACATGTCTAAAAATACTTATAATGTTAAACTAAATGTATTGAATTGGATTCAAGGGTTTTTAATATAAGGAATAAAATAATTTAGCAATTTATAATTCATCTCTTATAGGTTTATAATGATAGTTGACCCCTTTTAAATTTCTAATAGATGGCATCAAATCAACCCAAAATTTAGTTCTTTCCGGCAGCAGATTTTTGGACATATATACTTCTTTTGAATTTCCAATGTGTAAATATTCCAACTCTGGCGTATGAACTGGTTTCCATTTCACAGGGGTATCTTTTGTAATTTCTGGAGTAGGATTTCTGAAAATGAAATAAAATAAAAGATAATGTTTAAATAAATTTAAATAAATTTGAATGTTATAAAATATATATTAATTATTTTTTTACTTAATTTGTACAATCAATTTGGTCATAATAGTTGATTGCATAATAATATTTATTAATTGTGTGTATGATTTAAAAATTTGATTGTAAAACTCTGCATAAGCTTGCCTTCATACTTACCCAGTTTCAGCAAAATTGTACCAAAGAGCCGTGACAATATCAATAATGCGATTGTCCTCTTTGCTCAGTGGCGTGTCTTTGAATAGCTGCTCACCCACTGGGAAAAGGTATTGTAAATCGTCAGCATGCGAAACGCCGTAATCTTCATTTTCGTCGCCGAATATTTTGCTGAATGAGACGCTGCCCCGATACGCAAAGTAATAGTAATAAACTGGCGAGGAAAATAATTTTAAATGATCACGGACTGCTTCGTCAGCAGCAATGTAAAACCAAGCATCAGAATACATCTATAAAATATAATAAACAGTTAATAGGGCCCCTATTTTTGTGTTACTACGTTTTTGCTATCATCATACTAACATCTGTAACTTGAGCTCTGGTTGATTTATCAATTGATTTATTACCAAAATAAAATTTTCTAATTTGGTCAGTGGCATTTTTACGATTATACTCTGGACAAGTATCTTCAAATAACAAAGATACTGGAGCAATTTTTTCAAAATCTGTGTGAAGTCTTGATACCAATTCACCATTGTTTAATCCATACAAGCCTATACGATGGGAATGATAATATAAAAAATGACCTCATCATAGGAAATTCAGAATCAAATGCCAACCTGCAACTCGAATAGCACCTTCATGCGAGGTTACACCAGTCATCCAGTTTATGTCCGCTAAATTTCCGTTCTTTAAAGAAATTGCTGGATCTTCTTTTAAAAATGCTCCTGGATGATCAGGTTCTATAACTGGCCTAAATGGTATCATCGGGCAGTAGTCAAACACCTAAAAAAAAGACATTCTAAATAATAATTAGTCAGTCAATCAGAAGGATAAAGATATTAAAAACGAATTTGTATAATTTATCGAAATAAAATATTAATTTTTCATGTTACAAACACGATGTATCATAATTATAATTATTACTAATAATTAATACTTTGCCGTATTGGCAGCTGAAGAAATAAACATAAGGATGCATTTTTGAGAGGTGCATCATATAATTATATACAATAAATGTTAATTAATTATTTTCATAAAATAAAATTAGATAAAATCAAAAAATTATTATTATAACGGTTATGTAAAAACTATTGAAAAAAATGTATAAACAAAATTTTTTAACAAATAACTTTTAATGCAATTCAAATATATTAAGTTTTGTTGGATAATTTTAATGGCTAATACAGGAAATCAATGATTTACGTTGATAATTGATTTAATTGTAATAAGAAGCACGTTATTTAAAATCATCAGTTTTAAGATCAATTATACCTGAAATTCTCGATCGGTGCCAATAATATCAACTGCACTTTTCGTTTTTAAACATTCAATGAGCTTAATTGTATCATCTTTTGGACATTTTAAAAGCTCAGCTACTCGTTGGGCTTTGTTTTTAGCTAAGCCAGGGCGAGTCAGAGCCCACGGGCAAAGTGCAGTACCGCTTTGAGAAATGCCTCGCTGAAAAAGACCTGTAAAAAGTGCAGGCATAAGTATGTATGATAATTGGGCGGATGCTGAAACAAGTTTCTTTCGAATGTTCAAGTAGTTCGTTCACCTTTTCGACCAAAATTATATATGAGAGAATATTCCAATTTTTACACATTTTTCACATTACTTCTTCTAATATTAATTAAATTATTTTTTAACGAATTTTTATTACTGTTAGATAGCTTGGAGGCTTTATTGAATAAATAAATATGCCACGACATTATTTTATTGCTATTTGTAAGAAATAATTTCTGCTTCACATTGATTAATATATCATGATTGAGCAACTTGTTTATTTATTAAATACTATAGTACGTAAGTATCATATCGCCAACGTAGAAACTACTGATCTACATGTCAAATCGCAATTTCTCGCCCACTTGAAATTATATTGCTATGCGTACCTTTGGACAGGGGACTAATCATATGATAATGTACTGCAACACCTCCGGCGCTTTCACCAAATAAAGTAACTCGGTTTGGATCACCACCGAAAGAAGCGATGTTCTCGTGAACCCAACGAATGGCCTGTGCCTGATCCTTCATACCCTGATTGCCTGGGGTGACGAGATCTTCCGTACTCAGAAATCCGAGTGGGCCCAATCTGTACCGTTTTCCATATAATTTTAAGTCAAATAGTTTAATCTTATTAAAACTGAGATAATATTCGAAAGTACCAATTGAAATTATGAAACTCTTTACAGTGAAATGAAATTTCCATTATAATGATGGTTTCAAAAATACATATCATATATAGTGCTTAAATTTCTTACCTGTAATTAACAGTTACTAGTACAACATCGTGATCCAGTAAAAATTTAGGACCATAAAAATCAGAATGTCCTGCTCCTGTTACCCATCCACCACCGTGAAACCATATCATCGCAGGAAATGCCCCGTAATTTTCTTTGTTTTTGCCGGGTAGGCGTGGAGTGTATACATTTAAGTATAAACAATCTTCTACGCCAACAATTTCCTCTTGATGTGTGTAGATATTCCTTTGCGTGCAGATTTCCGCATCATCTTTAGCGGATCTTACACCATTCCATCCAACTGCAGGTTTTGGGGGCTGTTACAAAAAATCATCAAGTTTTCATTACGGATAGAATAAAAAAGTATTTCAGTAAAATTGGTTGAAATTACTGATCAAATACAATTTTACTAAAACGAGACTGGAAAAATTGCAAAATTTGAAATCAAGTAAAAAACAATGTATCAGATCTGATTTAATAAGAGCATACAAACACACAATTAGAGTTGATAGACTAGTCAATCATGTTATATTAATCACATAAATGCGTCCACAATTTTGCGATTATTGAAAAATATGTGCCTGAGGTTAAAAATATATGAGTCGATTTATGAATTAGCTTTAAAAGTATTGAGTTTTAATAAAAAATTTTATTATCATAATTTTATACTTTACGAACAAATGAAATGATCTCCTTGCACAATCAGAGCTCTGCGTTTTCCCGCAATTATAAAATTCTTCAGAAACTTATTTAATATTTCACAGTTTATAATATCTATGATCCGCAATAAATAACAGTAAATTATAAAATAAAATATAATAACATTTCCACTAATGAAATTGTTACAAAAAAATCAATATAGATTAATGTTAAACAGCATTCAAAAATTATATCAATTATATTTGTGAAATTGTTTTAAAACAATTGGAAAATTTCAAGTTTCTAATCGATTGAAATAAGTATATAATAAAACATTTAAAATAAACAATGAAATAAACAAACTTAATGAAAAATTCACAAACAAAAAATAAATATTACTTACCTCGAATCGTAAATCCCCCAAAGGAGGCAACGCATACGGTATTCCTCTAAATCCAATGAATTCTCGTCCATATCTAGATTTCATAATGGTACCTTCTAAAGTGCCATTATGAATTTTCACTAAAGGTTTGAATGCAATTGTTGAAGAAACCAACAAAATAGCACCAACCCATAAATACAGTAATTTCTGCATTTTATCCGAAACGTCTCTCATAATCATTACTGTTTCACAAGGCACTAATTTAAAAATTTTATTTTTCGTAATAACTGAGGAAATCACTCAGCTTTTGGTAGTATAAACTAAAATAATTAATTTTAATAGACAACGGAATTCGGGTGAACCTTTCAGCGTTTGGTTGGCAAATGATTGAAAAAAAGAACGTGTGCACCTTGAGCGGTGTCAGAAATGTGACTGCACCTCATCGTGCAAATCTCACGTACGGTTGATGTCTGATAATATTTGTATCGGCTACTGGGGTTTATTACATTTTTTTTCAATTGACTTGATATGACAGTATATTATGAGAATACTCTCAGGCATCAGTCATTACAAATCTCGTACTAGGTTTTAATAGTAGATTTATAAAAATTATGGAATTATTTTTTAATTTAAATGCCATATTATATAGCTTAACATTTTTTAGAACAAACTCAACAGATGCATTAACGTAGTTCACATTTTTTTTAAGTGCAACATGCACTTAAAAACATTTTCGAGCGAAAAACAGCATCCATTTTACAATATAATTCATTGAAAGAGTTATTTTATCTTAAATTTAATTACTCTTACGAATATAATATAAGTATTACATTTATTTCTTAATAAATAATAAGAACGGAAAATCACTATTATGATAGTGTAAAGTTGCAATTTTTTTATTACACGTATGCCATGGCGTTCCTAGTATAACTTTACACTAAAAGTTTTATGTACTAGTTGCATCATCATTGCCAAGAGCTACAAAATAAATTTCAATTTCGTAATTATAAGGAATCAAAATGAATGCGTTCATATACTCGTAGAACTTATTTCCTTGAACGGTAAATATAAGCTAAACACATTACTTTTTATGAAAGTTTTAAGTCTATCATTTCATTTTGTAAAAATTTGTCCAAAAATAATGATAAAAAATTGTTCCCAAGTTAATAACATTCTTTTTATAAAATTTGGTAATTCAGCAATCAATTAGACAATTTTATTTATTCTACAATAACTAAAATTACATGGACAATATTTGTTGTTAATGTATTACTTTTCACTCTTTTATACATTTTTTAAAAGTAATTACTGTGAAACCTCCCGTTACGGACACATCTGTTAACGGACACTTTTTTCGTACATTTCAATCATTTTAACAGACACCGCTTGATAAGATATTAAGATAAATATAAAAAAATTTTGAAAAAATCATCAAAAACGAAAAAATATCCACAATTTCATACGTTATTGATACGTTACTTTTTTGTAATTCATTATGAAGTAATGAATGCATTATAACAATAGTTTAAATTTTATATCATTAATTTTATGTTCATTTTCTGTCTATCTCTTCATAGCGGAAAAATTCCTCGGAACTATCAGTGTCCACTAAATTGAAGTTGTACTGTACATGGATCAGTTAATTTTTAATGAAAGAGAAGGAAAATTAGGCAAAGATTTCTCTCTAGTATAAGACAGTACAAATGTAGTTTATGAACTTTCCAAAAACAAGAATTTGCTGTTATTTTGCATGGTAAAATTAAACACTTGTTTATTTGACAAAATACACATATTTTTCACCGCATAACTTATTTAAAAAAAAAACACAATATCGTAAATAATCAATATTCGTTTGAATCCTAAAACAATTAATAAGAATGAAAACACACATAATCTTAACTGTACGTTCTCATTAAATTGAAATTTACTAAAAACCATACACAGTTATATATACTAAAATAATGTGGGAATTAGACTTACCTCGTCAGTGCAAATTTGACTAAAGTAAAGCACTTACAAAACAGTACAATTATAGTTTATACAAGTGAGATAAATATTTTATGTGTAAACAATTTTTTACTATCCATGTTCGAAGCTAAAATTGTTATGTTTTGTGGATAGTATAATTCCTAAAAGACTCACTCGAGAGAGGTGGGATAGCCTACTTTTCCATCTTATTTGAAGTTCATAATAGATATAATTGTGTCTATGATAATTATTATAACGTTTTTAAACTAATAATACATTAATTATCATCTAATGGTCTTTAATCCATTTAACCTATCCATAATAAAACAGTATTATCCTTCCATCGGTAAGATAAATTGGGATTCACCTTACCGACGGAAGTCAGGTTAAATAACTGTGAACTCTGTATTTACTTGATTTTCCATCAGAGGTCTCGATAAGTATTTGACCGTCAAAAATATTAAATTTATGACTATAGTCACGTGAAAAATCAAAAGAAAATAGGGTAAAGTCAGATAAAAGGATCCTGCCTTTTGTTTTTGGAATTATATTATTGTCATGTATTTTATTACTTTACGTTATATTCATAAAACATAATGCCATTTTTTCTTAAATACTATTCAAATTATAAAGTTCAATAAGCAATATTAAAATTCTTGCTAAGTAAAAAATAAAATTAGGAAAATGTATACAATACAATTCATTGAAAACCGAGATAAAGTACAGTAAGAAACTTATTTTTCATCAGTAATCAGTGCACATTAGTACACTAAAAATTATGCAATATGTTTTTATACATCAGCTACGACAGTATTGCGACAAAAATACCCATATTCTTACGTTCTCTTGATAATGAGTGAACATTTTTTTACAAATTATACTTTATTCTTCTTGAATCTCAATTACGTGTTTATATTATTGAAACAAAATTAAATTTTGAATGATATTAATCTGTAGTGCCGAAATCCCCTAATTTATCGAATTTAATCAATCAAGTTTACCTCCAATCATAAAGAACTAAGATCTCTGCATATTCATGCTCTTTACGTAATACAAGGCCCTTGTTTACGGAAAAATTGAGGGGAAAAATTTGCCAGATCGAAACATAGACAAGTGTTGTTATTGATAACCCCTCAAAGAACAAACTACGGTGAGTTAGATAGGGATACAAATGAATCGCCCAAAGCGCATAGGCGTAAGGTGAAGGAAAACGATTTAAAGAAATAACTAGCGAGATTTTTCGAATTTTTTCGAATAGTGTTCAGTATTTATTTGTGCTTACTTGGCGTTTTCAGAGAAAACAGATGGTTATCAATATAGCAAACAATTTTATTTTTGGAGAGTAATGTATTTAAAGTTGTTCGTCATCTCCGAATTCTGTTGGAGTAAAATCATCAAGATTTATCTTCTTTTAAATTTTTCATGACAATCAGTTTTCATTATTTTTCAACCGCTTGATAAGTTTAAAATACTTTATGCTTATTGCAATTGAATGGAACATCATGTTTCGATTAATGTATACAACCTAGGTACAAATATTCAATTTGTACATTCTGTGTTTATACATTTAATGAGTGACCTTGAATTTAAAAAAAAACAGTTATCTGGTCCCAAATTACCATGAGTTTATTTGTAAAAGTCGCTATTGTTAATCTAACACATGTACATTAAACTGAAAATTAAAAAATTTTTTTTAAATCGACGGGACGCCCCCTCAAAAGTTTCAAACCCCCAAAAAAATGAGCTCTACCAAATTTCAGCTCATTTGGTTAAAAAAACCCGTGCCTCTAGACGGGTGTTGATTAACATTAAATTTAATTAAAACTCTGTATGCGTAAAATACGAGAAAACGATTTTTCCATTTAATTTAATGTTAATTAACACCCGTCTAGTGGCACGGGTTTTTTTAACCATATGAGCTGAAATTTGGTAGAGCTCGTTTTTTTGGGGGTTTGAAACTTTTGAGAGGGCGTACCGTCGATTAAAAAAAATTTCTTTTAATTGTTAGTCTAATGTACATATTTCCCAATGAACAAAACACATTCTTGGTTTATTTTTAACTGGCGCAGGTTTGTGTAATTTTCGGGATATATTCCGGATGCATTGGAAATCAATAGAAGCATTCATTATACAATTCAATTCAAAGCAGTACGAGAATACATTGAAATATAAGATTTCATGGACTCGGATTTAGCAAAGACGTGAGTTTATAGTACATCATACCGTATGTGTACCCCCGACACTGAGAGAAAAGTGACTGGCAAGTTAAAGAAAAAATGTAATCAGGGGTGCGTGCATTTTCTAGCTCCAAGTAATTGGTTAGTCGTAGCCATCTTGGTTCATGGGCGTGGTGAAGGGGTGACTCACCCTTCTAACGATGATGATGACGATCAACGTGGAAAGACCAAAAATTTCTCTTCATTGTATTATCGTCGTTTGAAAGTTGAACTATTTCTAGGTGTATATAATTTTGAAAAATTTTCTTATAATAAGAACCACCGTAAACTAGTTTCAAGAGGAAAAAATTTTATTTCATTAAGATCATACATACTTTGGTCGCTATTGATTTGAAATTAGATGTTTAAAAAAAAGAAATTTAACTGAGACTTTCGATATAAGGATAAGCTTGCACTTGAGATATGATTCGAGTATCACAGTAGAACATTACGTAATTTTGTCAGGAGATGTCTATCTTACACAAATAAAAGTTAGCAGCCAGAGCGTAGTGAGGGGCACGCCCCAATTTCGTGCTTTATTTTTTATCATTGAATGCGGAAAGTGCTGCTTTCTGCATAATCTAATGAAAATAAGTATTGGAAAAAATGTACCACTAACCTAAAAATCGCAAATTTGCCATTAGTTTTAGGCTTTTGTATTATTGGGGAGTATACGATACCGCAGCGCCTCTATGCATTCAACGTTAATTTCCATAAGAACTAGAGGAATAGGGTAAAATCATCCGTACCATATACCATAGTCATACCTTTGGATAAGCACTAGAGGAATATGGTATGTCTAATTTTACCCTATTCCTCTAGTTCTTATGGATCGCTCTTGATACATACTCATTGAATACTGAATACTGAGAGGCACTGCGATATATCGTATACTTCCCAGTAAAAAGTTGTATGCGACTTGCGTGAACAAGCTTTTTTAGTAAAACTCGATACAACAATCACCTTCGGCTGGTGCTGCAACCTCTATTTTTGTGTAAAAATCATATTCACACTTGTTGCATAAATAACTATTACAATGCAACATAGCAATTTCCAGGAATTAATTATTTTAGTGATACAAGTGCTTTTTATGATAATTTAAAAAAATCAATTCCGACTAAGTTATATTTAGTAGACATCGAGAAATATTTTTCAAGTTAAGTTGTATTAATAATAAATTGCGACATAAGGCTAGTGTGTGTCGGAGGTGTGAGCGATCTCTGCCGTAGATGTATT